AGGCTTTTAATGAGAGAGAAGCCAATTTAATTGGTCAGGGCGAGCAGATGCTTTTGCTGGGTGAGTGGGCTACAACGTCTCACGTTCCCCCTTAATGCCAGGAGCATCGCTGCCGAGGCGGAGGTGGCTGCCACAGAGCCATGGCAGAGCCAGGAGGAACCTTGATAATCAACGTCCCTGCGTTGTCAGATCACAGAGCCCAGCCACGAGGAGACGGCACTGAAAAGAGGAGGCGAAAGCTGTCAAAGGGACGTTCCTACAGGTAATTACATGGCTGACCATCTCCGCTCGTCGTTAGTTTAACTGTTAGACCAGGCAGGAAGCTGGAACAGCCCGTGAAGTTCTAAAGTGTGTTAACGCCGCGCTAACGGGGCGTTGCTGAGGACGGGGGTTACAATCTGCAGGCCTCCCCTGCGACAGCTCTTCTGGAGTGTGTGTCACTGTTGAGAGGAAACCCAGAAATAACTTGCGCGGACCGTTCAATTACAGGCCATCGCCGCCCGGCGCTGCCTCCGCTCGTGGCACGGCTCATCAATCAGGTTCTCTGTCATCATGTCTCTTCTCATAGCACTCACCAGAAGGCTCCGAGCTCCCGCCGAATTCATGTGACATTTACTGTCAGAGGCTGTCAACACCACCAGATTCTCCCAGGGCCTCCCAGTTCATCACAAAGCAACGAGATATATCCCCAAAACGCGCTCCCGGTTCCAAGTCTGGATTACAATGACTGACTGAAGGGCTTTGCAGCGGTCAAGGAAGAGAGAAACACCAGCAGAAGCTACAGCTTATGCCCAGATACCTTCCCTTTTCTTATTTCTTGTTGGAAAAACACCACCACATTAAGCGAGGTTTTAGGCCGTTGATTAATTAAGACTTCCTCAAAAATGCCCCCTTATAAATTTATGAAGAGAAAGATGAGATTGTTTACTTTGAAATTTAGCCTTCTCATCTCTAGCATTGATCCTGCATTCAATGTCTGTTTAACAATACAGTGACCTAGTGGAAAAAATTTATAAAACTTAATAAATTGCAGCTGGCAGTATTGACAGAGTGTGTATATGCACATTTGTTTTCGCATGAACATATTACAAGAAATCTAATAAAGTAAACCAAACACATTTTCTTTGTCTCTGAGCTGTGAAACTAGATCATCTGTAATTACAGTGTTTCAAGTACACTTGGTCAAAGTCACATGGTGGGGTTTTTTTTAGCCATAAATTTCTGGCTTTAGAAAAAAAAAACATAACCCTGTTGTGTATCAAAGCTTACATGTTCCACTAAGTTACTTTGCTCAAGATGTAGAAAAAAAGGCAGATGGAAACCTAACTTACCAGAAGATGACTGTGAGACAAGAGGAAATGGCTCCAGCAGCCAGGAAATAAAGTTCCAGTGGCCACTGTGCCCCAAAGAAATAATCAAGAACTTGGAGATACGCTGGTTTTGTCCAGACTTGAAGGGGGGACTGGCATTAATGAGTGTTTGAACCTGTGAATTAAAGAGTGCTTTCAACTACAAGGTTTTTAAAAGACTTCAGAATATATATAACCTCCTAAAACTTCAATGTTCATTTTTCACTTCCTTTCTACAACCAGTCCGGCTTCCTCTTTCCACCACAAGAGATATATTTCTTAAGAAGCACAGTGTTTATTTCCCTAAGGAGAAAAGTATTTATTTTCCTAAAATTATTGTATGATAACAAACAGAGTTTTCTCAGCCTCTTCCTGTACACTCTGTATGCTGCAGCCCACTGATCACCATCACCTGAGCCCAACAATGCTGGCAATTTTCCATCCAATCCGTAGTCCCTTTACCCAATCCATACCTCACCAGTTTGGTAAGACCACAGTATGGGAGACCGTGTCAAAGGCCTTGCTAAAGTCAAGGTAAACAACACCCACAGCTCTCCCCGTGTTCTCTGAGCCAGTCCCATCACAGAAGGCAATCAGGTTGGTCAGGCACCATTGCCCATCAGTTCCATACTGGCTGTTTACAACCACCTTCTCATCCTCCACAAAGTTTCTAGGAGAAGGTGTGCCATCACCTCCCAGAAACCCAGGCTAGAGTGGTTTACAGTTGCCCTTTTAGAGTTGCCCCTTCTTATTACCCTTCTTGAACAAGTGTATGATGTTTGCCCTTTTTCAGTCAGTCATCAGAATCCTCTCCCAATTACCGTGAGCTTTCAAAGTGGCCCTTGCAACGACATCGGCCGCTTCCCTCAGCACCCACAAAACAAAATCATAGAATGGTTCTGGTTGGAAGGGACCTTAAAGGGCTGGGACACCTCCCACCACACCAGGTTGCTCCAAGCCCCCTCCAACCTGCCCTTGAACCCCTCCAGGGATGGGGCAGCCACAGCTTCTCTGGGCAACCTGGGCCAGGCTCTCACCCTCCTCACACCAAACAAGTTCTTCCCCAGATCTCATCTCAATCTCCCCTCTTTCAGTGTCAAACACTTCCCCCTCCTCCTAGGGCTCCCTTCCCTGATCAAGAGTCCCTCCCCAGCTTTCCTGGAGCCTCTTTAGGGACTGGAAGTAGCTTCCTCTTCTCCAGGCTGAACCCCCCCAGCTCTCACAGCAAAGAGGCTCCAGACCCCACAGCATCTCCGTGGTCCTACCACGAAATCTCAGCACCAACAGTCAGAAAAGCTGTAGCAAGACACCCTGCACCTGCAGCAATCCCTCATGGCTTGTCACCTCTTCCTCCTCATCGTCCTTTCCACGTGCTGACTGCAAGCTGCAAGGACATGAACTAGCTGAGCTGGAAAGACACGAGCATCAGAACGTGCTGCCCTCCCGCCTGCGTAGCTCCAGTCATTTCTCTCTGCCACACTTACTCCTGCAGCCACGCTGCTCCACGCCAGCAGACATCTCCCATCTTTGCTACCTCAGCTTTGCTCTTGCTCTGGACAGTCCCTTTCCTCGTCTCTCAGGATCTCCCTCCTGCCTCATCTTCATTTTCCTTCTCCAGAGGAAAAGACACAAGCGCACAGCAATGGCACAACTGACATTTTTCAACTCCACCAGCATCCTCACGGTGTGAAGCAAAAGAGATCACCTCTGCTGGTGACTTGCTGGTTGCACCGACAGGGAGTATCGCACACCAAACGGCTGAGGACTTGACAAACAACTAATGACATTAAAAATAGAGTGATTACCCAAGGACATCCTGGGTGAACCAATACCAACAAATGCAGTTTAAGTTTTTGGAGCATTAATTACTGATATCAACTTGATGAGCTAGAAAATTAACGCAAGATTATAGAGTGGAGGTGCTGATCTATCTATCTTGCATGTAATTTTCAACTCCAAACAAACTGTAGTAGCTGAGGAAATACCAGTCTACCAACATGAGACAATTACAGACACATTCACTAAATGACTTCGTAATTAAGGTATTAAGCCAAATCTGGGGTGAAAAGGATAAAGGATTTGTGTCCCATATGACACAACAAAAAATAAAAGCTATGGAAAACCAGAAGAAATTCGGTAATTTAAAGCAAGCACTTAAGCTGATGAAAGAGAGTGATTACGTATCTCCTGGAAAGCCACTCTCGGAGCTGAACTTGCTGCTAGCCAAGCACAAAACAGGGATAATACTGAACAAGAACTATGAGCTCATAGCAGGAATTACCAGCAAAGAGAAAACCATACTCTGGAAAAGGAGACAAACTGCCGGAATGACCAAAAAATTTCTGTGCCTGTGGAACGAAGAAATAAACATGAAAGTACGCTGTTCAGCTGGAACGAGCGCGGGGCAGCAATGCTCATACTTCTGAGGGAAACCACTAGGGTAAGGAGAATATAAAGCCCATCTTTTTCTCTCGCTGGCATGCCACGCTCTCGGCTGGGAACTCTGCCATCTCCTGTTGCAACAGGGTTGAGACAAACACACAGGCGTACGGCAGATACAAGGCGAGGAAGGGCCTCTGCGAGCACCATCCATCACAACAGCACGCTGCTGCCGACAAGACGTGGATGCAGGTTCATACACAACCCACACCGTAACCGCAGCCTAACACATTTCTTACATGTTTCCCTTCACAAATGCCTCACGTATCCACCCATTTCCCAAATACAATTAATCCCATCACCGGTTACAAGAAGATTAAGTGACCGAGTTTCTGATCCCACCTGAAATTCTTTTTTTTTGCTGTAAGAAAAGCATCTTGTGTTACCACGCAAATCGTGGTGTGCTATTTTTTCCTGCCTGACCCATTGCAGGGCACACAAATGACCCCCTGCCCCACTACTGCAGGCCATTCTGGCTCAGGAAAAAGCACAGTTTATTGGGCAATCCTAGGCTCGGGTAAATTTCAGCACTTTCCACTACTAATTTAGTCCCTTCACTGTTAAGTCGTTATCCCCAGGGCTCATCAATGGGCTCAGGGACCCTCACAGAGGCCCCACACCGGCAGCACAACCACCGGCTTGTGCCTTCCCGGGGGGGGTTCATCCCCCCCGAGCTGCAGGAGATCCCCAAGGACCCTCCCCGGGACACCCAGACCTGCAAGGGGAAGGCTCTCAGCACCTTACGATGGACCCCGACCCGCAAGGGGACCCCCGGGCCCTGCTCGGGCCCCCTCAGCCCCACAGCCCGGCACTTCCCGCGCTCCGCCGGGCGCCGCTCTAGCTCCTCTCTATGGTCCGGCGCCGCTCTATCCCCACCGCCTGAGGGGCTGGGGGCCGCCTGAGGCCGCCCCCTGGGCGCTTTGCCCCCGCCGGCTCCGCTCTCCCCCTTCCCCCGGTGTCGGTGCCGCCGCCTCCCGCCCCGCGGGGAAGCCGGCGTGGGGAGGGAGGGGGGGAACCCGCGGATCCCTTCGGCCGCTCCCTCCTTCTCTATGACCTAGGCCGCCGTCGCCGGGCAACGCGCCCTCCCTGCGGTGCGGCGGGCGGCATGTGGCGGC